TGATGGGAATACATATTGGAAAGCAGTTTTTCATCATAGGCCATACATAACATAACAGAAATATGCACACAGCAGATTTTCATGCAAGTATTTTGCAATAAACAGGACCCAAATACATTAATGACCAGTCAAAATAAAAAATACCTCGCAATTTAGATAATTTTATAATTTAAATTTATTGATTGTAAGCAACAGAATAAGCTTAGAAATTTTATTCTTGCAGAAACAACTTTCAAATATTTTGCTACAGGGATTTTTTTTATCAATTACGCGTAATTACTGTTGATTATTTTTCAAAATAATGACCTGGCTAACAAAATGTTTAAAAAAACTTCCTCACATTCTACCAGTCTTTTTAGATTCAATCAAATTAAAATCAACTTATTAAGTTTCTTCGTGAAAAAGGTAAAAAAAATTGTTCTTGATTTTCAAGTGGTTACCGCAAAATACTAAATAATTTATAACATAAATCAAAATCAAAGAATTCAATGATCCAAAAAGAAAAATAATCTTTCAAAATCGAAAATTGAAAGTAAAAAAAAAGAGCTGGAATTAAAATTTTCTTTACGCATAAAAATATTAAGAATTTTTTAATTAATTGTTTTACGTTCAAAAAATTTTGTTTGCAAATTTTTTCGGCAAATCCGCCACTGATTTTTAAGCAATCAGTGGCAGACCGCTTTTGGCATTGCACACAATCATTACCTCTCTCGTTAATGCTCGTTCAGCGTTGGCACGAACGGAAATCTCAAACGAGCCGTTTTACATCCAAATTGTTGCACTATTCACCTTTCTCAGTCGGACAGCTTGAAATTCAACTCACGTCGCGAGCAAAGAGGCGTTGATGCTTTAATTGCACCCTTTTTGGCCAACGATTCGCGTGACTGCTAAAAAGGAAAGAATCAAGCATAAAAACGAGCACGAGCTTAAATAAATCACGCGCCAAAAAAAGAATATAAAAAACTCGTGAGATATAATAAAATAATTCTCATATTACAAATGAATAGAATAAAATCATATTCGAATCTGTGAATGATAATTTTATTGGAGCAATAAAAAGCGTCTGGAATTTTAATCTGTCCAGAAAAGATTTCTATACCTGCGCTGCTCCGTTTGTGTCGCGGAATTTTTTATTGGCCGACGAGTGTCATAAAATATGCACCGAGAGGAAAAATGCCCATTGACCGAGAGAGAGACGAGTTTATCTCCGCAGCCAGATCTTTCGCGAAACCAACAAACATTAGCGAATCTTGATGAAATTTTATGTCAGGCCTCATGATAAAAATTCCGGTAGCCTCTCTCGACGCGGGTCCGTCCATCAAATCATAATTTTTCCGCGGAATCAAGACCTATTCCCGTATTTTGAGAAGTCGCGGAGAAGAATAAATCATATTTATTTTCCCGACGCGCGTGCTGCTCTTCGCCGACTTTTTGCAACAATATCGCGGGCGTCGGTGCATGACGGCGCGAGCAGCCATTAAATCAGCAGCAAAATGAAATATATACCCGCGCTTCTATTCGAATGTGTTTTGCGAACTGGTATTTCGCATTTATGCGGTTCACGGGGCGCCGCTTGGCTCTGAAATAAATCAGCACCAATATTTCGCCGAGGTCAACTGCTACTTTCTCCGGTGCTTGCGCAGCCTCCCGCCGGTGGCAGCACCATCCAAAGTGGCTAAAGGTTCAGGTACTTCAGGTTCTAAAGAGAAAATATCCAAGATTGTTGTGCATTAATGCAAGTTGAAATGATAACATAAATGGGTTGTAAAATTCAACTTCTTGGAGGCAAATGTAGAAAATAAATCAAATTACAGAAAAAAAATTGCGCAATAGATGAATAAATTTTAAGTCATGAAATTACAATGACAAAAGTGTACCATTAATATATTTCCCATTAAAATAATTAAAATTGAGAAGCAGTTTCTTCATAAAATTTTTTATAATTTAATAATATTTTCAAATTTTAAAAAAATTAATAATTCAGTAGATTAAATCCATTGCTTATTGTTAGAAGAATTTCGATTTGCATTTTAGACTGGTGATTTCACTAATATTCACAAATCTCCTCGATTATTTAATTCAAACGCAAAATGTTTTTCACTAGAAAGGCGGTTTCTATTTTCCCATGCATGTCACAACTTTTTTCTTATCTCACCTTCCAATAGGACACACTCCAAAGCTTAAATATTTATTAGAGAGTGTTGAGAACATAAGTTAGGCGTTTCAATTCTCGCAGTCGTAAATCGTGCGTTTTATCTGAATATCGCCTCCTTTTTGTCACCTGCCGACGATTTGGGAGCGTATTTTGAAATAAACACGCTCCAGCGATCATACGCACGAAAAAGGGAAAACTTGAACGATCTGATTTGTGGTTTCTAAAAAAAATCTACAAGCAGGCCCTTCTTGTATAATTTGTATACGTGTGTGTGTTGAACAAATTGCTGCGTTTTGTTCAGCGGAGCCAGTTTTGAGATGGTGCTGATGATCCTTCAAAAGCGAGGGGACGACGCCAGAGATGCAGAAGCGATGACAGCTCGGCGGCTACAAATTTAACTGTACACAAATAGCTGCGGCCATGTCACCCGTGAAGCCTGTCATAATGATCCCAACAGGGGATTCGTCATAAAAAAAATGTAAAATTATAATAAGAAAGCAATAATTGCAGGGAGTTCCTGGAAATGAAATAATGCTAATTTATATTGCAAAAATCTAACTCTGCAAAAAAACATTTTTTGTACAGTTTTTGGTTAGAGCATTAAAAGTGAAAGATTTCATTGCCTTTGATTATTTCAATATATTTAGCACATTTTAGTTAATAAATTGGTATATACAGAATTCAGCAAAAGGGAAAATTAATGATTTATTTTTTTACATTTTTTTTCTAAAAATCTCATAAAATATGTTGAAAGTCTTGTGTTTTTCCGCAAAGACGTTAAATTAAATCTCACTTAAAATAAAGCGACTCTGTCCATTTATTGCAACAGTTTTGTAGTTTTTTGCATCATCATTTCCTCCGAATTCCCCCGCAATTTTTTCTTCGCCGTAATTCCTCCTTAATTTGGCCTCATCGTCGCCGACGGAGAGGAGATCCTAATTAAAAATGTCAGCCAGCACTCGCAGAAAATGTTTTCTTCGGAAACTAGACAGTTGAGTGATCTCTCGCAGTCGGCAGATTTGCAGTTTTTTGTGTGTCCGCGCTCGGACATTCCTGCGGGTGAAATTGGCGCAGTTTGGAGTAAAACAAGCAGTTGGAAGGCTCGTTAAAGAGCATTTGCTAGCCGGAATTATTTTTATACGAATGTGCACCCGCCGTAGACGAGCGACGCTTTATCGTTTTTTCATTCATGAGGCGCGGCGAGTTTTCCTCTGCTGGGTTGGATTTTCCTACAAGACCTCAACTTTTATGTACAACCTACGGATGAAATATGAAAATGAAACTACTTTGTAAATAATTTTATGTCGAGTTTCTTCGAAGTGACTCTGAAAAAGTTATACGGTATTTTGGCGTGAAATTATTTTCTTTGTAAATTGTAAATGAACAAAAAATACGCATGCTGGAATTTTTGTGATTTAAGTGACTTTCTGCTGCTATGGACGCAGAGGAAAAATCTCAGATCTGCGCGAAGTTTTTTGAAAATTATTTGCTTACAAATGTAATCTGGTAAACATGAAAATTTAACAAAACCATATTTTATTATTATTTGAATATCAAAAATATCAAATATGCGTTTGGAAAATATTGCTGCAATCTTACAAAAATTTTGTTCAAAAGGATTTAAAATAGCTCTATTTTCAAATATTTAAATATATTATTTTTAGTAATAATTTAAAAAAAAAATACAAAGGCTATAAAATTTCTTTATAGACTTCTTAAAATGCCTCACAAACCAAAAATGGTTTGATTTGACGTTTTTAATTTTTTTATTCAAACACAGTGTATGTTATATTATATTTTTTTAAATTTTTTTGCTCTACTAATTAAATGAAGAAAAAAGAATAAATAAAATAACAATGAACTATTTTGATAGGCGGTCCATCTTAAACTGTCTCAAAAATCTCAACACGACAGGGGTATTATTTTTAATTGAATAAAATGAGACGCGATGTTTCAAGACCTCTCATGCGAAGCTGCAGAAAAACAACAAACTGCATCTCCGTCTTTATTTTTCGCTGTTGCTCTCGAGAGTTGTATGTATGAGTCTGCGTGCGAGTGACATTTCGTATCCGATTGTGTTGCGCAACGCATTGTGCAAGTGACACGCCGAGGGAATAAATTAAAAGTCGCTGCCGCTGGTGAACCTTTGACTGATCCTCGACGACTCTTATTGTCAAGCGGCAACAAAAAGCCTCTCGCGGTTTTTCTGCAGATACCCAAAAGTAAAGTGTTGCGAAAAGCTGCAGCTTTCTACAGTCGCGCGCAATAAGAAGTCTTTTAATTTCATTTTGGACACAAAGTGTGCAGCTTTTTCTGCCTCCAAAACCGCAATATAATTTAATACATATATATTTTTTGCACGTGGTGTAATTTCACTGGCGAGCTCCTTAAAAGCAAGTGCCAAGCGTCGATGATGATTTAGATAAAGCAGCGCTGTATTTGGGCATTTAAAAAGTGGATCGGATAATTTTTAAACGAGAGACGAGCGAGTATATTGGGTCAGGCCGCGAAGGCCGGTCGACGAACCCTCTGCTTTTCTCACTCGCCAGCACCGGCCAGCCGGCAGGCACATTTATTTTTGCTAAGCAGCTCGCTTTAATAAACAACTTCTTGAATTTAAGTGAGTGCTTTTCGTTTTGATTGCCGCTGTCATTCACGCTCGGAGATTTTTAATTTTGATTAGAGACACACACACACCGAGCTGCGTTTGATTTTAATGCAAACGCTATTTTGTAAGCCTTTTAATTTGTTTAGATTTATCAATTTGAAAATGCGGCTTAAAATATGACGAGCAGATAGCATCTGGAGAAGGACGCTCCAATAAATTGATAGGGTGGAAATAAAAGAGATATGCGATCTGAGGAATGAGTGTTTTCGAGAGTCGCTTAGTACTTTCGAATCTTTTTTTTTATTTCCGCCGACGACATGCCTGCTAAACACATCTTTTGATATTTACACACTGCTCACACGCATCTACACAACGACGACGACGACGTTATTTGTCGGGAGATTTATGTAATCGTTCAAATTTACGGTGGATTTAATGAGATAAAGAGAGAGGCTACCATGGACGCAGACTAAAGTGTCTCGTAAAGCGCCTCTAATTGGCCGTAAATCCGGACGAGTGCTTACAATTCAATCGCGCGCCTGTGCATCTCCTGGACAATCATGCGACTGGGTGTACATTTAGTAATGCAAACTATTTAAGAGAGCCCATCGTTCATTGCTTCAATTATATTTGTACTGAGACATCTTCCCGCTAATTATTGATAATTATTCTCTCATTTGTATACGCCTATGTTAATGTACATCCACATTACTTTTAATAAGAGTGAGGTGGGTTAAAAACTAAAAGGTAAGTCTTGAGATGCTGGCACTAGCAAGTACCCTGTTTTGGCTCGCTGCTGGCCGCCTCCTCGGTGGCCGCTTCGTCTGGCCGATCGATGGCTGCCTCCAGTTCGCTCTCTTCCAAAAGAGGCACTCCTGCAAATGAAATTTGGAATCGTTTTTTAATTAACAAAAAAATGTTTAAGTATCAAAATGAGTTATAAATTTTAATTGAAAATTTTATTAATAATTCTGTTCAAATAATTTTTATTATATAACCAAAATTTATATAGTTTTTTCCGTTTTTTCATAGATTTAAGTGATTTACCATCGGTATTGAGGATGGAGCTGGTGTCGAAGGAGGCGAGGCTGCCGCAAATGGCCCTGCACGAGGCGCTCCCCGACGCCAGCGACGAAGCGCCGTGCGAACTCACGGTGTCCAGAGTGACCGTCGTCGATCCTTCGCTGGTCGCAGCCATCGTGTCAGTCGAACCCGTCAAGTCCACGGCGTACGAGCGCAGACTTGCCGAGTGACTTGTGCTGCAACATTCAGAAATCACACAATTTCCATTAAAATGTGTAAATCTCAGTTTAATAGGGAAATGCTGCAAGTGAGTGGCGCGTGCTAGATCTCGATTAAAATCAATCGCTAAAACTTGCATATAAAATTGGGCGCACTTCAATTTTCAGCAAGAAATATATTAAAAACTTTGTATTTATAAAAAATGTGAGCAACATCAAGACATCAATAAAGTTTAAAGCAAAGTTGCGAGTTTAGTAAATTTAAAAAACGAAATTTTTATATTATACAATTCTCAATGAAAAGCAAGCTAAAGAATTGAAAACTGTTAAAATATTTAATAAAACATCAATTTAACCACGCCTGTCTTTTCAATGTTACTAGCAATTAAAATCCTAAACAATCTTTTATCTCTGCGTTGGGAAACATTAAGTGTTTATTCAGATTTGTTATTTTATATACTTATAGTGAGTAATATTCAAATGAGGTAGCAGTTGCAAATTAAAAACTAATCTTTATGTTGATTTAGCAACTCCACCGCGGTTAATAGCAGCGGGTAAGGGCCTATGAGCTCATATATGCCAAAGAGAAATTAACGATTGAGCCACGAAAAAAATTATTTACATTTCGCCTTGTGCATGAGGCGATTGAAAATGTTTGATGAGCACGTTTGCTTTGAAACTTTTTGCTTGGCGCCTCCTGTTTTAAGGCCGCTTTTAATGCCGCTTAATTTGCATAATGCGCGTGTAGATAGAGTGTTTTATTGCCGGCCATGTGATATCGCCGCCAAATATTTTGTTGGTTTTGCGTAGTACGAGTGCCATTAAGAGCCGCCGAGACGATTTGTATCGAACGAAACCTTTTGTGAATAATTCGCCTCGCTTGACCCGTCGAATTTCTTTCTCACGCAGAAATCAATTATTGTGGCTGCCCCTTGGGCTGTGCGCGGCCCATAAATAAAAAAGCAATATTTTTTTGCGCATTGTTGCGAAATTTCTCCAGCACGCGCGTAATGGCCGCAAATACATATTATTTGCCGGCGTAATGAGCTTTGGGCATTTCTAATTTCGCGTCGCCAATAAATCACCGCAAAGCGAAGCGCATTTTCGCGTGGGGGGCCGCGGGCGCCGTAACGAGAATCACGTTAATTGAGCGGTTGTCGCCCGCGGTCGATGGATCGCCCGCGCCGCAATCGCTCTTATCGCCGCGTTTCCGAATTTCTCCGCGAATCGGCCGATTTTATCGCGCAAAGTGCGCCATAAATTATCCGCCTTTAATGCCAAACGCAATTCGCTGCTTTGCAAAAATGATATTCGCCGTTTGCAAAATTAATGCGCATAGAGGTTTTCACTTTTAATTACTTCTTTTCGCGTCCCGTGAGTGGATTTTTTGCTGACAAGTGCTGTTTACGGTTTCTCTGAAGAATGTTGATGGGTTTTCACGGAGAGAAATTCCACTAATGCGGTAATCGAGTAAAAAATGGGGAGGAATATTTTACGTCCTTGATTCTACAGTTTTTGGACTAACTGATATTTTTAAAAAACAAAACAAAAACTAACATAAAAGCAAAAGTCTTGAAGCTGAATAATTTTAAAAATGAAACATGATGAGGTAACATAAAAACTTGTTAAAAAGGTTAATAAAATTAAAAATTAAGGCAAAGTTGATTGATTGAATAAATTAAAAATCTTCATACCTGGATGACTGCCTGGTGCAGAGACCGCCGTGCAAGGAATGATGCGACAAAGTGTCCTGGTCCCGGTCGTGTTGGTGCCTGCGGCCGCGACGGCCGCTGCCTGAAGACAGGGCCGTCCACTGCGGCCCGTTTCGACCGCGGTGCAGCGCGTTGAAGAAAACGCCGCCCCCGGAGGCCAGGCCACCTCCAGCACGGTCACGCGTTGCTTCTTCGTAACTCGGCAGCACAGACTGTGAAAAAATCAGAAAAAAGCAAGGTCAGGAATAATTTGCAGGCGTCAAAGTTCCTGCTTGTAAATTGCAAAATTAATGAAATTCTCAAAAGGAGGTATTTTTTTTTCACGGGGAGATGCGATTCCGCGCTGATTAATAGGCCCCAAGCGAGTAGGTACTTTTCTCCAACGTGATTGTTGTTGACGAGCAACAATGAAGCGGCGGCGCGCGGGCCTCGATTTGCATCTGATTGAGCGCGCCCTGTGACCCCGGCACACGTGACCTGCTCAAGGCGAAAAAAGCCGCACACTTTCTCACACCGACTCTTTGTGCAAACGCCGATTTGGCAATAAATTCTACTAAAATTATGAAAAATGTACATATTTCTACAAAATAAACTGACTTCAACATATTCAGCTAGTGCGAAAGCATAAAATTGAGCAATAAAATGAGGACCTTTTTTAAAGATCCAGATCAAAAATATTTATATTTTTCTGGAAAAGGTACGTTCGGAAGAAAAATTTTCATATTTCTAAAATACATTCGTTGTTCTACCTGCCTCTAACGTGTTTGGCTAGTGCGAAAGCAAAGATGGAGCAATAAAATGAGGTGTAAAGCACATTTTTAAATGGGTAGATTAAAATTTACAAAAATTATTTATTTTTTAGAAATAATAAAAGGAGCAATGAATTTTTTTAAATGTATTGCAAAGTTGCAAAATGATATTTAGAAATAGCAATTGTTATATCCATGTTAAATATTAAAAAAAAATTGTTTAATCATAAATTTGAAAAAAAAAATGCAAAACAAGCTACCTTGAAGCTACTTGTAAAAAAAAATAAGGACAACTGATCCTATATGGCGGCCTTTCTGGCTAAAACGCAGTATGAAGCTATTTAATGACTCGGTTACTTGATTAATTTCTTCATTTTATAAAATAAAATAAAAATAATTTTTTGATATTTCACTTAAAGAAAATCCTAATTTTATTTTAATTTTCATAAATTCCTCCTTCTTATTGCTAGTTCTTACAAAAGTGACTATAGATTTTTAAAGTACTAGCAGACTGCAGATCTCCGCTTAGGGACAGTTTGTACTTATCGTTTTTTTATTAATTTTTTTTTTTTTTACTTTTTTTTCAAAGGGGGAGCCCGGTTTCAACTTTTCATAAAATCCACCTCAAGGGTGAGTTATCAATTTATGCATTTAACATTGATATTCATGTAAAAAGTTGTAAGTGAAAAGGATTTCAGCTGACCTGACCAACTTGTAAACCATCAGCAAAAGCAATGAGCGCCACCCTGTCTGGATCCGGAGGCATCAGGGTCGGGGGTGGCTGCGGGGCGGCGTCGGGGCTTTCGTCAGGCCAGTGGTGCAGGCGGGCCGAGCGTTGCCGTCCGCCAGAGGTGGAGCGGCCGCTTCTGCTGCTGCGGCGACGGCGACACACGACGGCCAAACAGACGGCCATCAGCACGGCCATGACGGCCAGCGCGGTGCCCAGGGAGGCCAGCAACGCCATGCCGGGATTCAAAGCGTATTTTTCCCAGCCGCACGTCAGACCACACACTATAGAAACATTCGGAAATGAAAAAAAATTATTCTTAATAAAATAAGCCAACAATTTCTTATGAAAAACGCAATTTTTTTAAAAAAATTCAAAACCTCGCAAGAATTTTGTATTATCAATATATAAATTCAAACCCTTTTCCACTTTGGCTGAGACGCTTGCTGAATAAAATGAAAGGGAAAAAACTAGTTGAAGGAAAGACAAAATCTGATTGATCGCATTAGAGCCTAATAATAAATAAACTCTGCTTTGATGTCAAGAATCGAAATCAATAAAATCGCACAATACATAAAAAAAACCGTGCTTCTCTTTTGATCGCACAGTCGCATCAATCGTGGCGGCCAAAAAATTAATCTCTATTCCGATCAAGATTAGAGCGACGATGGAAAATGCGGCGTGCATCTCGCTACTGATTTATTTTATTTATTTATTTGCTCCGTCAAGAGAGCAGAGAATTAACCGGCCTTTTTGCAGCTTTATGACGCTACGTGACACTCATCCACTATTTCACGGCGTGGGAACACGCATCGCAAAATCCACCACGAGTGCAGTGCAAGGTCAGCCGGTGCAGTTTTGCCGCCGCGTCAAATCGGCCACAAATAAATAATCCGCTTCCAATCACTCAAAATGCTTCGGTGAGCAACAAAGAAGATTTCCGATCACTCCTTTTAGTATGAAACTTGCGTTGACGAACGTTTTATTTTTATGCTGCACAGATCGGCCGATCATTAAAATAAGTAAACAAACACGGCCTGCGAAAGTTTCCTTAAGCGTCTTTGGCGCCAGACAACAAGTTGTAAACAAATAGACACGGTTTCTAAAGACAATTAATTATAAATTAAAATGCTGTTTGTAATTGCGTCACTCCAAAGGCCGTTCCAGCGCCAAAAGAGGAAAAAGGCAAGGACGTTGTTTCTTTTCTTTCTCTGAAAAAGCGACTTACTGTAGTACGGATCGTCCTCGTGGGTGCAGTCGGGAAGCATTGCAGGTTCCCAGCAACCTGTCGATTCGCACGAAAAAACGGGGTTGCCGCTCAATCGATAGCCGGGCTGACACGTGTAGGCCACCCTGGCGCCCACCCTGTACTGACCAGTGGTGGCCAAACCGTAGACGGCGCTGTGGGGAATGTTTGGCAACGGCAAACAGCCAGCGAATTCCACTGAAAAAAAATAACAGGATTATTCAGGTTAGGAATCTGGATATTAAAAAGATGTGCAAATTATGAAACCTCCTAAAAAATAATCGATTTAATTATGAAATAATGGTGAAAAATGTCAAAATGTTTAAAAAAAACTTCTTACTTTACAATTGAATAAACAATAAACCAGTTCAAGTGTTTGTACTTCTCTTTCATTTTAATTTAATTTTTATTTTGATTTGAAAATTATAAAAAAAAAATTTAAAAAAAGTTTATAAATGTATACAGCGTGAGGATATTTATTTACATAAAAATTAGAATTATTCAGCAAAAAACAATTCAGCTGTCGTTTGTGAAATGAACTGAAAAATTGCACAAAACTGTAGATCTTACCGCATTTCGGGAGCCTTCCATGCCATTTTCCATTGATACAACGAACTTTGCTGGGCTCGCAGGGAGCTTCCGAGTCCCTCAGGCCCTCGTTGCACTGAAACTCAAGCTCAGTACCTTCGGTGACCCCGTTGGTTGTCAGCGGTCCTCGCACCCACACCAGAGTTGCCCCTTGGACAATGGGAGCTGAGGCGCAGGAGCGACCTGTCTCCACGGTTTCTTCAGACCCATCGTCGTCTGTTGTGATTATCCCTGGAAAAAATTTCAGTTTTTATTGATCAATTATGGAAAAATGCTAAATAGAAGAAGAAATTCAATTGAATAAAATCAATTTTCTATTAAATTAATATTACTTATTATTTCTTCCCTTAAAACTAATGTTTTCTCTGCGGCTCGTTAGCCGTGCAAATAAATATGGCTCATTTGCAGTGCACGCAGGAGAGGGAATTTGTGCGCGGACAAATCGAATTCCCGCTCGCGATTATCAAAAGCCGAGGCCGCCGAGCGACTTTTTGCGCCGGGCTGCCGGCCGGTCATTGTTTGCCAGCGTAATTTAGAATAACGAGCGAGCACTCGACACGGGTAATAAAGTGCTTTTGTGACGCAAGCGAAAAAACACTTTCTCCGCGCGCCGCCTTAATCACCGCGTCCCCATGATTGGACTGCCAAATGAGGCGTCTCATTTCGCCACCCTCGAGCGATCCGCCGACAATCGAGCGCCTCGTTTCGGCACCCAGGCCCTTGATTTTCTGATGCAACTCTTTGTTCTTCGCAAATTGCTTTCGATCCGATCTCTCGTCATTCGTGCTCCATCTCACAATTGCCGAACGACCCGTAGGCTGGTCGAAACAAAATGCTTTGCGCGCTGAAATTAAATTTCACGTCAAGTCTTTTGTTTTTCCTCCCCGATTGTTTGACTCTTGAAATTACTGTTATCAGAGATACAATTTTTTACACACGGTCAAATTGAAAGATTTAAATCTCGCGTCCAAAGAGATTAAAAAAAAAACTCTCCAGAGTCTTCTTGGAATCGATCGACCTTTGGAAGTTTGATCGAAGCGGAGATTCCCCTCATCTGGAATAATTTTATATACAAATCGGAATTCGAGGCGTTTATTTATTTAGCAGATTGATGAAGAAGATACTGTGCCTGAGCTTTGAAAGCAGAAGAGGGTCTCGATCAGATGCACGGCGCTCATTTGGGCATAATTAAAAAGCTTATCATGGAACGAACAGGTCCGGCCGGTCACCGTTTTTTTCCGACGTGCTGCTGATTTTTAATGGGGCCTAATTAAGTGTGTGGATGACCAACAGCAGCCGGGCATAGCAGTTCCCACGCGCTCGTTACCGTTTATCAGCGGCCAATCGTAAAAATCACGGGTAAACAAGCTCTCAATTTAATCGGCTGTTGGTGCTGCATAAATTTTGTTTATAAACGTGCACGCTCGCTGGCCGTCTTCATTAATGGTCCTCGCTTTCTGTTTAATTGTCACCTTTCGGTTCATTTACAATGTCGCCGAATCGCCGTTTTATGGCGGTTTAAACGGATTCAAGATCTGAATTTGGACCACCGAGCTATGCGAAATGATACTTTGCATATAGACCGAGAGTGTCGGGGCCTTTCCCGCAGAGTGCCGCGGAGAGAGAGCTTAGGCCGATTTTATGGCCCAGAGGTGTAATCTGTGCATTTGAGAATGGAGGTCTTTCGTTTTTCGAGCGTAATGATTACACGAGGTGGAGAAATCAAAGTCTTTTTGGGGCCAATATAAACAGCACGTGCGGCTAAAATGTTTTTTTTGTCACGTCACAAATGTTTGAATGACCATAAGAATAAGAAATTTTGGCATATCCTTTTTGTGAAGCTTCGTTGGTTTGATTTCACAATTGTTTGCACATTTCACAATTTTGTCAGTTTCATGAATTCGCTAGGAAATGTAAATCTTAAAATTAAACTAATTGTAATATTATATAATATCAAAAAATTAAGGAGAAAAATATTGTAATTTATTTTTAAAATTTTTTGAAAATAATTTGCATGTTAAAAAATTATGAAAACAGTATTACTTGATTTAGCATGAATTATTTTTATCTGAATCTCCTCACAGGATGCAATAAGATATCAAAATCATATCACCATCCTAAGCAGAACGGGAAAAAGATTTAATTTATTAAAAAAAAAAATTATTCTTAGCAGAGTTCTGGTGGCGCTGATGCTTGCGGACAATTTATAAATGAAAGCAATTCAAAAAAGGAGATTTTTGGATTTTTCATGTTCATTGAGGATTCAAGATGGGGCAGAGGTCGCGTTTGACTGAAAAAATTAGACTCAGTAACACTATTTTCATCCTGAATTTACATTTCTTCCCCAGTTACCGGAATTTTAAAAATATCTTCAGGGAAATTTGCTAATTTACTCCATAGCAAATCTTGAATTTCATGTGAAATTTTAAATAAAAAAATTATACAACCTTGGCGTGAAAATGTTTAAAGACTCGTTAATTATAAATTCGGGCCTTCGGCTTCAGAGGCGGGGACGAAAGTGAAAAATATCCGTCTGCTCGGAATGAAGACAAATCTTCAGAGCTCGTTACATTGAACGGTAACAAAACGCGAGCGGGCCTGGGGATAAGGAGCCTTAAAAGGACTAATACTGTTTGAATTTCAAACCACTCGGCAGCCAGCGTGTCTGTAAATATGTATTAGTTCAGGTGTTTTACCCTGAGAAAAAGTAGCTCGGCTGCAGGTGAGCGCAAAAAGTCTGCAGCTGGGATTATCTTATATTCTCTCTGCTCTTTTGCGTGTCGTGATTTTTAATTTCCAGATCGGCGGACGATACATCGGCAGCAGCATAATTATAATTGGCCGAACGGACATGTCGCGCATTAAAAAGTTAATTTGGCATTCGGGCGAGGCGGCCGCAATTTGGTGCGATTATCGCTGCGCAGGCACGCTCATTATCGCGGCTACATCTCAATAATGTTAATTGAAGCCGGAGCGGCCGAGCGAACGGCGTGATTAATCAATTGGCCGCTCGTCCTTGTGATTTCACACTCAATCACTCGCGCCCCAAAAGTCAACAAACATGCTGAGAACTCGAGTTTTGCTTAATTTCGTGGCGAATTAACGCAAACGCAGAGCTCGCGCGTGTAAATCAAACTCGTTTGAACTCCATGGCGCAATTTCACTTCCACGTAAGCAGACAGAATCCAACGCTGAAATTTAATTTTAAACCTGATATAGGGCAGCCAATTTTATATTTGCAACATTCGCTGGATCAGATTTTATCAGTAACAAGAAAATTTTTTTTTACAATTCTTTAAATTTCATTTGATTTTGATGAATTATGATTTGATTTTGGATGTTGGTGTAATTCAAGAATAATTTTTTTTCTCTGTTGATTTGAATTTAAAATCGGCTTTTCCTCGATGCATATAGTGAGTTTTTGGTGAGCTCAAGGAAAAACAAGAACCTGTTCTCCTAGAAATCCTTTTTCTTCTAATTATTAGTCAAATTTAATTCATTGCAAAAACAAATGATTCATTGTAATAATTGTTTGCCTCTCTTGTATGATTAAGATTTAAAATTTTTGAATGTATATATTGATATATTTAGGCATTAATTGTATGATGATCAAGAAAGACCCTTTGCAGCTACATTTATATTTGAGGGTGGCCATGGCAAATATTAAACTTCAAATTCAATTCATTATATACTCATCGGTTTTTTTTTTATTGTGTGTTTATAAATTTTGCACAACTCAATCCACGCCACTGGCGATTGTTGAAGAGCTGGAAGTTTTATTTCTGAACGCAATTAAGGCGAGTCGCGTTTTTTTGTCCCTCGATTTTCGCAAGGGCAAAAAGTGACGAGGTGCGAGGCGAGGCGTGCTGATTGTTTTAACGCGCGGCAAATGACATCAACAGCGGCGCTAATGGCCAAATAATTGGCTCTTGGGCCGACGACGGCGGGCAAAAGTGGTTTGCCAGCCCCCGCGGGGGCCGCCGAGCGAAAAACGAGCCCGAATTAATCACGGCCCGACGGAAAAAACGGTAATCAGAGAACGTTCGGCGCCGTGCGCGCATTTTTCGCGGGTTATCGCGATGAAATTTAATATCTCAGCGCAGAGCAATCCAACTACTTGTTGTATAATTTATAAAATAAGCAGCCTGCTGGGCTGTAATTACGGCATGCGCGGCTGCCCGACTCATTAACGCACGCCCGATTTCGCAAATGTCCTCTCTTAGCGGGCCAATTAAAAGTCGATCAATTAAACGGGTCGAAAGTCTCTCTTTGCACTTCATCATCTGTTGAGAAAAGCAGCCGATTGTTGTTCCCAGAGGTGGAAAGCGGTTCGGTTTGCTGACCAGTCGCACGGCCAAAACGACACAAAACGAGTCAAAGCCGCTGCACCACCCGTCGCGGCGCTACCGTGTTTATTTCCTCCGTGATTTCTCCGTCGGATCTGCAGAATTTAATACACTTTTAACTTGGCCGGTCGATGGAAATGAAATGTGGCCGTTGTGAACCCTAATTTCGACGAGTTATTGCCCCTCTCATATATGAGAGGCAGAGTAAATTTCGCAACCGCTTTATAGATTCCATTTGATCTGATCTGATATAATAAATATAAACTCTCTTGGCCGGCCCTGCTGATCGCCATCACTTAATATTTGGAGCGAACCGGCGAGGTATATATTTTTGGCAAAAATTGCTTTATCTTCCCCGAAATACAGTCCTTTGAACGTCTCGATAAGTGTGGTATTGAATTTAGCTTCTGGGAGAGATGAAAATCAAATAATACACGATTGCAATCGCTCTCTGCGTGATGGATCGGCCGTATTAACAGGTTCAAAACAATGGCCTGGGGCAAAAGTGACAATCAAGAATGTTCCAATTTAATTTGAATATAAACACAATTTTCACAACGTAATTTAACTTAATAATCATAAAAGTGCTGCAATAGGAGATAATTGCTATGAAGAACTTTAAAATAAAACCCAGCCCGCAAATATTTAAAATTGCTTCATAAATTCTTTATTAAAAAAAAAACATTTTACAAATAAAGCTCTAGACATTTCATGGCGGATTTCATTTTTATATGTATATTCTTCAATGGTTGTACCATCAGCCATCATGGTCAGATTTTTCATTTAAAGGGGCTAAATTTTGCAGAACCAGACTTGGCGAGAATGATCACGATTTTTGCTTTGGACTTTCAAGCCATTTTTCATTTATTTGGGTTTGTTTTCCTG